CTTAATTTAATTCTTAATTATTACTTTTTGCTTAATTTTTAATTATTACTTTTTCATCATTTTTTTTTAAATCTTTATTTTAAAATTTTTTTTTAAATCAGTTTTTTTTTAAAATTAATTTTTCAGATTTTGTGATTATTTTTCCAATCTTTATTTTGTAATTAAATCTCTTTAATTAAAACTTTTCATTTAATTTTTTAATTATTACTTTTCATTTAATTTTTTTTATTATTACTTCTTAATTTAATTTTTAATTACTACTTTTTATTTAACTTTCAATTATTACTTTTTAATTATTTTTTAATCATTATTTTTAAACTATTTTTTAATCAGTTTTTAATTAATTTTTTTAGATTTTGAAATTATTTTTCTAATCTTTATTTTATAATTAAATCTCTTTAATTATAACTTTTCATTTTAATTTTTTAATTATTATTTTTTATTTAATTTTTTTATTATTACTTCTTAATTTAATTTCTAATTATTACTTTTTATTTGATTTTTAATTATCACTTTTCTATTTTTTTAATCTTTACTTTTTAATTATTTTCTTTTCTGATACGAATGATATTTGAAAAAGGACACAAAAATGAAACCCGATGTCATACAATCAGGATTGAACCTGAATCAGGCTTTATTAATAATCAGTCTGTAAGATGAAACATGAAAGTAATCTTGCAAGATAAAACTTGAAAGCAATTTTGCAAGATAAGACATGCTTCCGTAGGGTGGTCTAGAAAGACGAAGTAGCACATTGAAATGTTTCGTTCAATTCTTGTTCGGTCTTGTTTCATTAGATCTTTCTCGAATGTTCCATGGGGGTGGAGTCAGAAAATCATGTCGTCATTTTCTGTCAATCAGAATAAATTTAACTGAACTAAAATAATGATGTCATTTTTAACCAATCAGAANTTAACCAATCAGAACAAACATTACATAGCCGCTCGCAATGCATTCTGGGTAGTCGACTACAGTTAAAAATCTGATGCATTTGCCCAGAGACCTTATTCTGATTGTAGGATTACCTCTCTCAGGGAGCTCTTAACTTTGATCTATCTTTGATTCTATCTTTGATATTTCAGAATTTACGTTTCTATTAGTACTTGTAAATTGTTGTTATATTTCTATTATTTGAAATTTGCTGTTTTATTTCTGTTAGTTACAATTTGTTGTTATTTGTTGTTTAATTTGTTGTTATATATCTGTTATTTGCTGTTAAATTAACAGTTAAAGTTTTTCGCCAATTGTTTAGTGATTCAGTATTTATTACTTGATATATTTTCAATTTCTTGTGTAAGTTGAAACATTTTCAACATGAGTCAAGGCTTGAATCAAGCGTTTGAAAACGTTTCAATGCCAGTGAATGATGAACTTTATGCTATCTGCGATTTTGGTGACATCACAGTTACTCAACTAGATAGTATGCTAAAGCAAGACCAACTGGATGAAGCAAAACTACCTTGCCCTCAATGTAATAAAGCTTTCGTATCTCGCCGGAACATGCTGCGCCACCAGAGATCCATGCATGGGGATAAACATCTCCAATGTCCGGAATGCCCCAAGACCTTTGCTAGGACAGATGAGTTAAAGCGCCATTTAAACATTCATAAACGGAAAGCAACTGAAGACATCGCATCGCTCCCCGCCAAACACTCCCGATCGGATATTACCTCATTACACCAGCTCCCTTCTCAGCTAAACACTACTGTCTCAACATCTCGTGCTGGTCCCTCTACATTTAATGCTGCATCAACAGTTCCTCCTTCTACCGATCACCTTTCTGCCTTTAATGGGAGATTGAAAAATGTTTGTCTTTCCAATGATGATCACGTTAAAGACATACGTACATTTCTCGAACTGAAAAGGGAAGATTTTCACCACATCATCTCGTCTCACCTTACCCGTTTCGAATTAAAAGTGAATGTCCGCCTATTGTGCCGATATCAGAAAGTAACTCCTAGTGGTATCGTTAGCGACGAGAAGAACTTTAAGACGAAGAACGCTATCGTCACTGTTTCTACCAACCTTCATGATGCCTACACTACAAAAATAGACAAACTACTCGCTGAAGCGGATGATTTTGAGGGAAAATAATCTGGATGGACTCTTGAAGAAATTCTCACTTTAGAAATATGGTTGAGTAAGTATTGTCCTCTCAGAGGATCATCCTACATAGACCTACCCCCGTCTATTAAATCTAAGAAGGCCATAACCGTGGATAATAGAGATAATCGCTGCTTCATGTGGGCAGTTCTGTCCGCCCTCCATCCTGTACAGAACCACCATCAACATGCCTCCCGACATGAACACTATGAGTCGTTTATTTCTACTCTCAATTTTACCGGAATTGAATTCCCCGTGAGACTGCAAGACGTATCTAAATTTGAGAAACTGAACGGACTCTCTATCAATGTATACGGACTAACGGAGAATGATAAAGTATATCCCCTAATCATTACGGATGAAGAGAAATCTCCCCATGTCGACCTGATCTATCTTACCAGTGCATCATCCTCTCACTACGCCTGGATTAAAGACTTGTCCAGACTACTTTCTAGTCAATATTCCAAACACAATGGAAAGCGACTCATCTGCCGCCGTTGTTTGCAGTTTTTCACAACGGAACCAGTACTTACACGCCATCAGTTGAGCTGTAGTCAGCGTGAAGCTGTCAGAGTGCAGATGCCCGAAGACAAGTGGCTGTCTTTCAAGAACATGAAGCATACCCAGCCAGTCCCATTCGTCATTTATGCCGATTTCGAATGCCTCACAAAGCCAGTAGATTCTTGTCAGCCTAACTCTAAAGAGTCATACACCGAAACCAATCAAAAACACGAGCCCATTAGCTTTTGTTATTATATCACATCAACAATGGGACCGTACAAGGAACCATTCGTCTATCGCGGACCTAACGCAGAGAAAATGTTCATGGAGCGCATGAAATTAGAAGCTGCCGATATCCACCGGATCTACAAACACCCGCTGCCAATGGATCCTCTAACAGAAGAGGAGCAACGAGCCTTCGACACAGCAACACATTGCTACTTATGCCAGGAAAAGTTCTCTAAAAACAACTACAAAGTAAGGGACCATGACCACCAAACCAAAAAGATACGTGGGGCGGCTTGCAATACCTGCAACTTAAAAGCAAGAACTCCTAATTTCATACCGGTCATCTTCCACAACTTGTCCGGATATGACAGCCACCTCTTCATCAAGGAACTGGGTGGGGATGACGGAGATATTACTGTTATCCCAGAAAATACCGAGAAGTACATCTCCTTCTCAAAGCAAGTCGGAAAACATTTAAGTCTTCGATTCTTGGACTCCTTTCGATTTATGGCCAGCAGTTTAGATCAACTCGCTCGTAACTTGACGGAGGATCAATTTAAATTGATCCAAAGATATTTCTCATCTGACCACCTTGCTCTACTTCTGCGAAAGGGAGTGTACCCATACGATTACATCAACCACGCGGACAAGTTTAACGAAACTGTCTTACCTCCTCAAGAAGCCTTTTACAACCGCCTGAATGAGACGAATATCACCGCGGAGGATTACGAACACGCTCAAAAAGTTTGGGAAGTCTTCCGTTTGAACAGCCTAGGCGAGTATGCTGACTTATACGTCAAGTCTGACGTATTACTGCTGGCAGACATCTTTGAAAATTTTCGGGATGTTTGTATGAAAACGTACGGGCTAGATCCGGCCTGGTATTACACTGCCCCAGGCCTATCATGGGACGCCATGCTGAAGAAGACCGGAGTTCAGCTGGAGCTATTGCAAGACTATGATATGCTACTTTTTTATAGAGAACGGGATTCGAGGTGGAGTTTCCCAATGCTCCCATCGATATGCAAAAGCCAATAACGTCTACATGGAGGAGGAGTATGATAAAAACCAGCCATCAAACTATATCCTCTATTTGGATGCTAACAATTTGTACGACTGGGCAATGTCACAATACCTTCCTCTTAAAGACTTTCAGTGGATTGATCCTGCCACAGAAGTGTTAAGTACCCCACCATATAGCTCCACCGGATACATCCTGGAAGTCGACTTAGAATATCCGTCAGATCTCCACGACAACCACTCCGACCTTCCCCTTGCTCCGGAAACTGCCATTCCTCCTGGCTGCAAAGAAAAAAGACTCCTAACCACCCTGAACAACAAGCAGAGATACATGCTGTACTATCAAAACTTGCAACTTTACCTTCAGCATGGCCTCAAACTCAATAAAGTGCACAGGATTTTACAGTTCGAGCAAGCCCCGTGGTTAAAATCATACATTGATTTAAACACCACCCTACGAACAGCTGCAACTAACGATTTTGAAAAAAATTTCTACCTATTGATGAACAATGCAGTCTTCGGAAAAACAATGGAGAACATTAGGAGTAGAGTGGATGTAAAACTCTGTGGTACTGCTCCTAAGGCAGAGAAGTTGATAGCGCGATCCAACTTTCAAGAAAGAACCATTTTCTCCGAAGATCTTGCAGCGTTTCACATGCGACGGACAGTCCTGACTTTCAACAAACCGATTGTTGTCAGGATGGTCGTACTAGACGTCTCCAAAACGTTAATGTATGACTTCCATTACTCGAAGATGATACCAAAATATGGTAGTCATTTAAAACTTCTGTACACAGATACCGATAGCTTCATCTACAACATCGTGACAGAAGATGTCTATGCCGACATGGCGCAAGCGTTGGAGCTGTATGACACGTCTGATTACTCGCCCAACAACATCTATGGTCTTTCCTTAGTTAATAAGAAAGTTCTTAGGAAAATGAAAGACGAGACGAAGGGAGAAGTCGTGACGGAGTTTGCCGGCATCAGGTCCAAGGTATACATTTATAAATCTGGAACTAATACCGTGAAGAAGCTGAAGGGGGTCAAAAAGGCTGTTATTGAAAAAAAGATCTCCTTTGAAGATTATATGCAGTGTCTTTTTCAGCACAAGGAATTGATGACATGCATGAACCTAATCAGATCAAAAACGCATCAAATTTATTCCATTACTGCAAGCAAGATCGCACTGTCACCACATGATCAAAAGCGACACGTCTTGGCGGACCGCATCAGTACCTTACCATTTGGCCACTATTCCTTGAGGAATGACGATGAGTAAGCAATATAAATTTATAAAATAAAAAAATAAAAAAAATAAAAATAAAAATAAAAAAGATCGAAGAAGGATTTTACAAAAAAAAGAAAATGAAAACTGTAGAGAAAAAAAAATCTACAAAATTAAATGAGCATGAAATTCTATTGGATTGATTGTTGAGTTTAATGGCACAATTAATGCTCATTTCGACTATAAATAGAAGTGTAGAAACAGAAATATCCCATTTATCATGGATCTTTTGAAATTAAAGCATCCGTACACCGCGGTCCTGGCAGAACCAACTGGCTCGGGAAAAAGCCACTTCGTTAAGAAATTGATTGAAAACAGAATGATACAGCCTTTTCCTAAGTCTATAATATGGTGCTACGGTGTGTACCAAGATCTCTATAATGAAATGAGTGATGTTATTTTTCACAAAGGACTTCCGTCTGATTTGAATCATTATTCAGATACTCTGATTATAATAGACGACCTCATGAGTGAATTAGGAAGTGATCCTCAACTGACAAAGCTATTTACAAAATTTTCACATCATAAAAATCTCAGCATTATCTTCATCGTCCAGAATATTTTTCATAAAGGTAATGAAATGAGAGAAATATCTTTAAATGCTCATTATCTTATATTATTTAAAAACAGAAGAGATCAATAGCAGATTATGCACTTAGGACGTCAATTGTATCCCAACAAACTCAAGTTTTTTCAAGAATGCTATGCAGACGCCACATCTAAACCTTATGGTTATTTACTCATATACTTAAAGTGTGATACCGAAGAATCTTTGCGCATGCGTACCGGAATGTTTCCTGGAGATACTTATTATGTGTATCAACCGCGTAAACTTCATTTCCTGTACAAATTTCAAACAAGCAGCATGCCTTCTCTAGTAATCGATTTTGAGGAGTTTCAACTTCCTTCAGGACACTTCATCGTCAAAGAATTTGCATTCCATGCCGTAAAGGGCAATCCCATCACCGGAATGTTTACCTTTCAGTCACCGTTCCCTTTCGAAGAACTCTCAAGACAGCAGAAAATGCAATTTTCCTGGATTACAAGAAACATTCACGGTATAGGCTGGGATCAAGGAGAGCTACCTTATAAAAAATTTCGAAATATTCTGATGTTTCTGAGCGATGCTTATCCACATATTTATGTAAAAGGTCTCGAAAAACGGAAATTTCTTGAATTTTTAACTGGAAGACC